TAAAGGTGGAAATAAACTGCACAACCATGTATATTGATCACAATAACAAAAAAACATTGCCTGTCCTAGAGCAGCGTTTTTATAAGTCACCACTATCCCACTCTAAAGTAAACAGTAGTGTTCCAATGTTTTGTCCTGTATAGATTTTCTCTGAATGCCACTGGATCCTCTGAATTATGAAGTCATTAAGGATACACGTATGCACATGTTTGTATGAATACTATGTGCAGTTAAATAGGATGCACATGGAGTGGGATGTACAGTAACGTCAAGTATAATATGTCAAATGTCAAGTGTAATATAAGTGTTATATGCAAATTTGCATATATACAAAGATGTAAAGCAGTTGTTGCATCCATTAATATTAAATGCTATGTACTGTGTGTACTATACACTGCTATGTCCCATACAAATCTGACACGGGAAATTCATAGCATGCATCATAGGATACATCTACTCTTGTATTCTCACAGGTTAGAGTTAAGATAGAAAATTGCATAAAAACAACTTTAAACTGTTTATTGAAGTTTTATGAAGCTCTTCTTATCATGTGCCACTTTTTAAATTTTATTTTGTTAGCCACACTCCCTCCACCAGCTTGTCTTCTTCCCCCAGGGCATCCTGGTGCCATCACTTCCCCAGGTAAACAGTGCACATGTACTAGGCCGTCCATACGATGTAAAAGAAAACGAGACTCAGTGGACCAGGCAGCCTTCTTCCATTGCTCTACAGTCCAGTTCTGGCAATTACATGCCTACTGTAAGTGCTTTCGATGGTGGACAGGGCATGGGCACTCTCACCTGTCTGTGGCTACTCAGCCCCAAACACAGCAGAGTGCAATGTGCTGTGTGTTGTGGGACATTCCGCTCATAACCATTATCAAAAATTTCTGTGTCTTGTGTCACAGTAGCCCTTCTGTTAATTGAACAGATGAATAGCCTTTGTTGCCTTCAGACATTGATAAACCTTTGGTGCCCAACATCCTGCCACATTTTGTGATGTGTCCCTCCTTGGACACCTGTCGGTAGGTACTCTCCATTGGTGACTGTGTTACCTTGTTATGTAAAAAACTAATGTTTGCTACCTCATTAGGCAAAATGAACAAGACTAGCATTAAGGTTTTGACTAGCATTCTTGCCTGTCTGTTCAGCAAAGTAGTTTAGTACAGCCAGCTGTATCATACTGATTATTGAATCCAGCAGGATTAGACTAATACAACTGGTTGGTAACTGCCCTGATGACAGATTTTAAATGTAAACAGAAGAGTGGCCATGCTTCATGCTGTGTATGCCCTGCTTGAAAAGCTTAAATAATTCTTAGAAACTCACTGAGATGAAAGTGACTCAGAATAATTTGATGTAAAATGCTCCATTCAAGAGAACTGCACTAACTCAGACTTCTTACACTGCTGGGTATAGGAAACAGGGGTTGTGCTGTTTATAATGCAAATATAGCCATTTTAATCACTCTCCAAAACCACCACTTTTTAGATATAACATTGATCATGGTGTAGTTATAAATCTTAAAAAAATAAGTACTTCAGGGACTACTTTGTCTTACTTGATTTGATTTGTTTACTTCACTCCTACACTACAGACACATAGATGAGCTAACTACTAACGTTAGCACTGTACTGTCAAGCACCACAGGAAAAGAATGACAGCAGGTAAAAAAAACAGCGCAAAGAGGTGCAGTGGTTAAATGCCCTCTGTGTTGATGGCAAAATCAAAATTAATCAAACAAATACAAGACATGGGCATAACTCTTGCTATTCCACTATTTAAGGGGTTATATGATAAATCGGTGTCCTGTATACATACAAAGTAAATTTTTAACTTAAATAAGTTTTAAAGATACATAATATTCACTTTCCCAGAGGCAATGTGCATATTTATTCATTTTAAAACAGAAAATAAAATAAAAAGCCTGGCGTGAGACTATAACCGCAAGATAAGATACAATTATATTCCTACGATATAATTTCTACAAAATGTTAATAGTTCTACTCAGGATCTTTAAACAACAAATTCAAATGTTCTAATTATTGACAGCCAAGATGTAAATTAGAACTTTAATACTACCTTAAATGTACTTTTATACTATCATAGACATATAGATATGTAACTCAAGCATTAATGTATGGGGTTTGAATTCTTATGCAAACAGCATATTTTATTTTCTTTAACCTCTTAAATGGCCAAATGGCTAACATTTTATTACACATCTATTACCTAAGAATAGTTCAACCAGTTTACATTGAAGTCTCTGTAGTTACTAAATAATAAGCCTTAGTATGTAATAAGCCTGGGATTTTAAGGGGTTAAAATATCTCGAGACAAAGAGTAACTTATAATGAAATGCAGTGTTACAGCACGCTCTCACAATAAAATGCCATTGCTGTGGGACAAAATCTTATATTCCTATTTTTGTCGTTTAAAAAAATGTATATAACTTGCAAGCTGTCCTTTATATTATGTGAAAATTTCATGATGAATGGAGCAACAGAAATGGTCCAAAATGAGTTTAATCGTTATACAGGTTTTGTCCTTCTCCAGTAAATTATCATTTTGAAAATATTTATAATTTTCAAAGTGGGTTGAATATTTTCTCAAGGCACTGTCCATAACACTGTCCTCTGAAAAATGTGAAGCTTTTGTGTCTAAAAGGTTGAGTATTTTGGCTGTGGAATGTGTACTTAGTAAACAGTATTGCTGGCATCATTAGTGTATGGACAATATGAATAGTGGGATAGTTTCAGAGGGCAATCAGGGAGCAGAGTTGCCGTGGGAATGGTCAGTTACCTGGTTCTTGGTCTCCATGGTGATGGATTTTCCCAGGCCCTTAGAGCTGTTTGGAGTCCAGAGTAACAGAAATGTTGGCAGCTGTGACAGAGTGCACGAGACGGGTGAGTCTGCACGAGTAAGGAGAGCATGTACAACAAAAAACGTGCACTTTGGAGATGGAATGATAGCATTTTTCCTTTTGCAGTATTGATACTGATTCTGCAAAAACAGAAATTCGTGAGCAGTCAACTTACTTTATTTTATTTGCATATACATTATTTATTTGGTAAATACATTTTCATTGTAAGTAATTGCATTTCTCTATTCACTTGACGTGAGTGTACAAACTTTTCTGCAGGTTTTGGCAATATATATATGTATTTTCCATTTCCATCAAGGCTTTTTAATTCAAATGTCAAAACAGGCATAAAAGTATGTGGATGGAAACCTAGCTGGTGACAGCGGGGTGTATATTTGTGTATGTGTGCGTATATGTGCATGAATGTGAGTGTGTATATTAAGAACTTAAACTAGTAATTTACCAATATTTTTGTGATTATTTGAGTAATCAGAGTTTTAAAAAAGGCCAAATAATAAAAATGGACTTTATTGAACAACAAGAACATCGATTCAAAAAATGCATAAAATATACAAAACACTTTACTGGAAAAAAAGATAAGCAAGGAAGTCTGCAGCCTCCCTAGTGGCCATCCTCTGGGATGAAGATTGACAAAAAACAAGATATTTAATGTATTTATATATACACTCATCCTAAAATTGATGACTGCAACACGCTCCAAAAATTGGGACAGAGGCAATTAAAACTAGGAATGTGAAATGTTCAAAAACATCTTAAACAGGTGATGCAGTTCTGCTTGGGTATAAAAGGAGCATCCAGGAAAGAGAGAGTCCTTTATGAGCAAGGATGGGTCACCACTTTGGCCAAAAATGCAGCACTGAATAATCCAATGGTTTAAGAACAGCCTTTCTCAACGTGAGGAAAAAGGATTGTAGGTATTTCACCCTCCATGGTACATAATATCATCAAAATTCAAGGAATCCAGAGAGATCTCTGTGCATAAAGCGCAAGGCTGAAAACCACAACTGAATACCTGTGATCCCTCAAATTTCACCACACTGAAAACTGGCTTCTTCTGTGATGACTATCACCACATGGATTCAGGAATACTTTAACAAATCCTTGTCAATAAACACTGTTCATCACCACATCCACAAATGCAAGTTAAGACTGTACTATGCACAGTCGAAGCCATATATCAACAACATTGAGAAACACAGCCGACTTCTCTGGGCTCAGACTCGTCTGAAATGGACTGATGCATAGTAGAAACATGTAATTCAGATTATACCTTTCAGATTGTTTAGGGAAAAAAGGACAGCATTTTTCAGGCCAAAGAGGAAAAGGACCATCCAGATTGTTAACAGCATTATGTTAAAAAATCAGGGTCTGTCAGGGTATGAGGGTGTATTGGTGTCTGCCACTAAAAATATGTTGTGCATTAAGAAATGCAAAATCCAAAAATGAAGGCCCTGTACGGTTGCACAGCTGAAGACTTGCATAACAGAAGAATGTCAAATAATATGGTTTCAAAACTGGACCAGTTTGTGTCTTCAGTCCCCAAACAATTCCTAAGTGCTGTTAAAAAGAAAGGAGATGTAACACAGTGGTAAACATGCTCCTGTCCTAACTTTTGGAGCTTATTGCAGGCATTTAAGTGAGTGTACATTAACCAAAAATAACAAAAAACAAAAACCAGTACATTTCATAAGGTAAAACATCATATGTACTGTTTTCAATTTAATACAGGTCAAACAGAATTTACTAATCACTGATTCCTGTTTTAGTAGTATTTCACAAACTGTTCCAACTTTTTTGGAAGTGAGGTTTGTAGATTTTTTGTCCTCACTAGCTGAAATCTTTGGTTTGGCATTGAGAAGAGATGTAAAGGTGAACACACAGATGATATGGCTGTTTTGAACTGAACTGACATTTGTGTAGGTGTGTGTGCGTGTTGATGACCAAATCTGTGGCTGTATCAGAGTGTGTGTGCGCAGTGTGAGAGCTGGTTCATTCACTATGCCAGTTGATCTCAGGTGACACACCAGAGGGCTATTATAGCTTGTTACACTCTCTGGGGACCGTAATGGCCCCTAGTGTGTGTGTGTGTGTGTGTGTGTGTGTGTGTGAGTCTGAAAGAGAGAGAAAGAGAGAGAGTGGACGGTAAGCAGTGTGCTGTCTGTCTCTCAGAGTGTCTGTGTCTTTCTCCTGCAGGTGAGTAATTCTGGTCTTTATTTACTTCACTTTACTTTATAGACACTTCACCTTTGCCTTAATGCTTCCAACTGACTATCGTCCTAATTACAACTTAAAATCTCTTAAACTTACTCAGGAAAATGAGTATAACTAAAAAACTACAGTCAATGAACAACTCCTATTTAAAAGAAGTGGTGGCTGAAGTTGTCACAGTTTATGCTACGGGTGTAACAATAGACATTTTATCAATTATGCCATCAATGCAATTGCACTGTTTGAACACCAAAACTTGCCAACAATCAGCACCAATCTGGTAATCCTCATTAGTGACGTGTGCAACAACATCATTATTTTTCTTCTTTCGAAACTTCATGGAAATACCTAATTGTAAACCCAGTGTCATGAATCGACTCGCTGGCTGAGTGTATCATTACCGCCCTTGTTTATAACCGTCTTTCCTTTTTTTTAATATATATTTAATTAATTTGTAAAGTATTGTACAGTTTTTACAGATTAGTTGAGCTGTTGAACAAATTTATTTTTTAATGCCATTATGTAATATGCAAAGTTTGCTCTGAAATAAGGGAATGGCTTAACTCATTAAAAATATGTACAACGTAAACATTTGGATTTACAGAAATAGTGTCACACAATGACAGAAAATTGGTCAAATCAATGTGCATAAAATTAAAGGAAAGAAATTCTGGCCCAAATCAGTGAAGGCACAACACTACATCTTCTTTATCGATATTGAAACTGTGAGTGTCTGCCCATGCAACTTAATAGAAATATGGAGGTTGGTGGTGCAAAGAAAAAACCTGTAGAATTTGGTAAAAAAACCCTGTGCCCTGAAGTGCCCAGAAAATGGGTCACATCGTTGCATGAAAAACATGAAGGAAAGAAATTTGAGCACAAATTAAAAATACCACAATACCACTTTTTCTTTATCAATGCTGATACTAGGGCACTCTCAGAATTAAGTGTGGCCAAAATGGAATGTTTTCAATAAATAAGATAAATTCAGTCGTATGCAAAAGTTTGGGCACCCCTGGCCAAATTATTTGTTTTGTTGATTTCCACTTTTGCACAAGTTAATGCACAATTACTGTTTATTTACTGATTTTTTTATACATGCTTGGGTGGCAGTGAAACATAAAAGGTGGCCTGTGCAAAGGTTATATCATGTCTTATATTTCATGTTTCATTTTTCTCTAATATGTTAAACTATATTGTGCTATTCTCTAAAAAATGTGCAGCACAAATACCACACTGGCGTTGATGGGAACCAGGGGTCACAATCTCTACAATGCAAATACATTTTATTTACTATCCAAATCCACCAGTGAACCTGTTTGTGTCTTCTTGTTTTTATATGTTGTTAATGATAAAAAATGGTTATTAGTTAAGTTAAATAAATAATAAATCTGTAAAAATACATTTTCATTGGGGACCACTTTGTCTGCTTGTGCCTCTCCACCCTGCATACTTAAAATATGTTTAAAATAAGTCAAAATATATTTTTATCACAAATCAATCATAAAACAATGTCTTAAGCAACAGGAAACCTATTTATAATCATTTCATGTAAAAGCTGTTCTTCCTATCACCACCACTGTGAACAATTCAGAGTCTAGAACAAAGTAGTTCACATCAAACCAGTCTGAATGACCCTTTTTAACATTTTAACCATTTTATTTATTTATTTATTTATTTGAAATCTGTGTGGTTCCTAGAGGATGTGTACTTATTTTTACTAACCAAACATATAATTTGATGAGAGGCACCCAAACTTTTACAACAACTGTTGGTGTTTAAATGTTTTCTAGCATTTCTTTTCTCAAGAATGGGACATTCTAAATTGTTGTTATTAGATAATCATAAGCCAGACTGAACATTTTTGAATATATTCATTAAGTAGTAAATTATAAATAAAGTAACAGTAAATTGTAAATAATAGTAAATAAAAAGTATACATTTCTATGAGGTTCTCTGAAATAGAAGAGCCTTTGTAATGTTTCTAAGCAGTATCACTTCTACAGACCAGTTTATGCCATTCTGATCCTGATAATCAGCTTCGGAAATATTGTAAAGGATCAAATGAAACACAAATACACATAGCACACAAACTAGACTCAGGTCATTCTTTTATTCATAATATTCAGTTGGCATACAATACATGCTTAAATACAATGAAATGCTTAATGGCTGTTTTGTGATTGCATAACATCACATTATCAATTACTGTAACGTTATCCTTCTCTGTCTCATTCTCTCTGCAAAAGCAGATTAGTTTCAGGCAACATAATTATACATAACTCAGCAGTTGTAGACTGTGTAGAAGCAGGCAATGCAAGATTATCAGCACGGCCTTCTCTCGGTGTCACCTGTATTTTGACTCTTTGTTGTTACTGCACACTATTATCTTCCTGAGAATGGGAGGTGAGGTCACTGATACAGAATGACATCATTATTTGGGTAGATAAGGTAGACATAATTGGTTGGTTTGAGAGATATGCGGGCTGTAATTGGTTTGTTTTGGAGATAAGCTAGTCGAAATTGGCTTTTAGCGCTAGACAGACATTGTGTTCACATTCTGCATGCATAATCTGTTTGGTTCACTTTCTGCAGAGCTTAAAAATTGTTGGAATATAGAAATGAAGTCATGTTAACTCAAATATGTTGCCAGACTCTTCTATTTTTCTTCTGCATTCATGATTAAGTGTTGTGGTTCATATTTCTGTGTCGTTGGTGACTGAACTATGGCAGGTTTGTTTTGTGGTTACATGGCTCACTCTTAAAAATAAAGGTGCCAAAGATGTTTTTTTGGAGTGATGCCTTAAGGCTTTTTTCCACTGCACAAAGTACCGGAACCTTTGGCACCAGAAAAAGGAACTGTGCTTTTTCCATTAGCCACCGGTTCTGTACGGAAGGGTCGAGTTTCATGGTTTTTGATACCTGCTCCAGATTGGTACCAACAAGACCTAATGGCACTCAAGGGTGGGGCGAGCCACTCGGTTCATTGCTGTCTGGTTAAAGGGGAATTCCATTTGTCAAAGTGTATGCATTACTCAATTGTTCAGATGTAAACAAAGGCATTCAGAGTGGTTTGAAGTGAAATGGTTTATTTTAGAGAAATGTACCAGTTCGGACTCTCTGTGTAATAGTGGAGACTGGAGTCAGGAGTCCCAGTGTCTACAACAAAATATTGCCATTTTATTCATGATCCAAACCAGTATGTGATTCTACATGTGTCTTCTGAGTTTTTATATGTAATGTTAAAAATGGTAAAATAGTGGTAAATAACAAACAAAATATGTTTTTTGGGGACTATTTGGCCTTACAGTGAACTGTACCCCTCCACCATGAATGGATTTTTTAAAAATATGTTTTATGCCAAAACTTCATCTCAACACTCACACAAACTCTTCATCTCACACAAAACAATGTTTCATCAGGAAAGGTGTTCACGACATTTTCATATGCTTCAGACGTCTGGTTCCTATCACCACCACTGTGAACGATTCTGACTTGGCAAGCTTCTCTGACCACTTTCTTATATCAAATCACTCTGAATGACTTTGTTTCCATCTAATGTAAGTATACTGTAATTCTAAAAATTGGTGGAATCACCCTTAAAAAATACCCCACAGAAAATGTAGCTGATTCTATACTTTTGCAGGTGAAGACTTACCACGAACTATTACATGACCAATAAGTACATCAAAATCTAAACTAGAATGCTATGTTGATGTTTTGATAACTATCACTTTGTAAAGAGTATGCTAAGGTGACATTAGCTAGTAAGATAGCTAATTCTAACGTTATTCGCATTTAGTAATCCTTAATGTCATCATTATGACTATTTCAGTTGTCTGTCAAGCAGGTGGAACATGATCTAGAACTAGAACCCTAAAAGAAGCACTTTTGGTTTATTAAAGAACCTTTGGAGAAGATGTGAAAGTGTGAAGAAAGTTTACCTTCAGAACCTCTAAACCTTTTTAGAGATTCTTCAGACTTTAAAAGAGGTTCTTGAAACTTAATTAATTTTAAAAAAGTGGTTATTTAGGAGAAAGTGGTTCTTTTATGGTATCACACCAAAGAACCCTTTATTTGGAGTGATTTGCTGATTCATGTTGGTTTTGCAGTGATGGCCAAGTTCAAACTAAGCCAGTGTGTCTACATAAGAGTCAGTGTGGCCATAGTAACTCTACTGCCCATTTGCATAACAGGTAGGTAACTACAGCATCAACAGGTAAGATATATACCAGTTAATATATGCATGATTTGTTATTTATTAGCTTAAAATATCACTATAACACTGTGATTAGTACTGTGCACTTTCATAATGAAACTTCATATAATTTTGTTATGTGGGGAAGCCCATGCCTGCCAGGCAGAGGAGAAAAAATTAAGACTGCTTCTCCTCCTCTAGTAGTATGTTAACATTTTTTTGTTAGTATCTCAACATAATGACTTACTATGCCAAAATACTGCCTTAGTATCTCATAATAATTCATAATAGTACTATTCTGAAATAATTATAACTTATAAATTATTTATAAATTATAAATTCTTTTTAGACTCATATAGTCAATATTGTGAAAAAAATGTCTTTATTTCTAAATACTAAGCAAATATTATGACATACTACTGCAAATGGGTTTCCATTAAAAAATCACCTAGATAAATACTGCTTGTGTTCTCTCACTAATTCTAACACTAATGTAAGAGTAATGTTATGCTGTGGTAAAACTACTATTATTATTTGGTTTAATTCCATGCATAGCTGTACTTTTCGTAAGGGCAAATTCTAGCCAAGCACCAGAAAAGATGAGAAGTCACAAGACAGCCCTAACAGTCCTAGTAAGTTTAATTCTCTCTCTCTTCTCTCCATTTTACAGTGGTGAGGCACGGCCAACTGGAGCAAAGAGAAAAACGAAGCATTCTAGCATCAACAGGTAGCCAATGAACAAGAAGTCACCACAGAAGACCACCAACTACAGTTATGAATACATCCCTCCATGGATTTTAGCTCCCAGTGTCTACAACAAAATATTGCCATTTTATTCATGATCCAAACCAGTATGTGATTCTACATGTGTCTTCTGAGTTTTTATATGTAATGTTAAAAATGGTAAAATAGTGGTAAATAACAAACAAAATATGTTTTTTGGGGACTATTTGGCCTTACAATGAACTGTACCCCTCCACCACAAAAATCAGACTTTTTTTTTTTTACATCATGTTTGGTTTGAATGTGTTGCTATGCCAAACATGAAAAGACAAAAGTGTAGTTTAGCATAGTGATATGTACATGGTCAGTCAAAAGTTTAGATTGTCCTGGTTGAATTGTTAAGATATAAATAGCCATTAAGAGTGGTTTCCTGTGAAGAAACTTATTGAGTCTGATTTTTTCCCAGCGGTGGGGAGAAGAAGTGATTAATGCCTCTAAAAACTACCTAATGCCTGAGACATTATGCTAAAAACAAGCTTTTTGTCAACATTACATATAAAATGTTGGTTCACTGATTGTTTTGGATAGTAAATAAAGTGGTTATATTCACAGTGTAGACACCATCACCAACTATCACCACCACTGTAAAGAAATCTGAGTTGGCAAATTCATCTGCAAAGAATCATTTCACAGCCCACCGCTCTGAATGACTTTATTTTCACGTCAACGATTAGATTATGCTGAAATTTTGGACAAAAAAATTGGTGGCGTTGCCCAATAAATGACTGAAATGTTTAATGCATGCCTTTGCATAAATTTATGTGTGAAAAGCATTCCAAATGGCTCCTTAACTGACCGTAATTAACTTGAAAACTAAAATACAAGATAATCTAAACTTTATAGTTCATAGTTGCAACATAATTCCATGTATGTTACTTAACTTTTTTCATCTAAACCTAATTGGTGCTGTATGTGTGGGAATGACTCTTATGAGTTGTGGTGTTTGTATTCTGTCTTCCAGAGATTCCGGCGGAATACATTGACCCTGCCTCCATAGACCTCACTCCGTTAGTAAACACACTCATCAATGCTGCACACAAAGGTACTAAACACACACACATTTCCTTTTACACAATGTCAGAACACAAGGTCAGACACACTGTACTGTGCATCCTTTCACCATCCTTTCATTTGTCTAATTTTCAGCCAAAACAGCCATTAAGTGAGTTATTCATTTTTCAGCATATTGACAAAAAAAAGCATAACATATTTAGCAGAACATAACACCGTAACTAAATATACAGTGTCTTGCATGAGTGCTCAGCCCCCTTAAAAGTCATCAGGTCCATCTGGATTACAAATAACAGTTTGATATTTTGTGATGTCATATTTTATTTCAAAAGACCGACCATTAAAAAATTTGTTAATTTAAAGTGATACAGGTTTTATGTTAGAAAATAATGTGTTAAAAAATTACTTACTGACAAATGCTGATGCATAAGTATTCAACCCCTTTGCTGTGGAAGCTCCAAGATGACAGATTTTGCCCTAACAAGGATACATTGGGCTCACAGTTGGTCAATTTGTAAGCCAGGAAAAAGTTCACATTTTTCTTGATAAAAGACCCCCTCAATTCTGAATCAATTGTGAGGAAATGGAAGCGGCATCATACCACCCAAACACTGCCTAGACAAGACTGTCCCCCAAGACTTCACACAAAGAGGTCAACAATCACTTTGAAGGAGCTACAGAGTTCAGTGGCTGAAAGTGGAGGGAAGATGCACCAGTCAATGATATCAAGAGCTCTATATACAATTGGCCTGTATGGGATGGTGGCTAGAAAGAAGCCATTACTGAAGAAAAAACACATCTTGAGTTCGCCAGAAAGCATCAGAGTGACCCAGCTAAAATGTGGGATAAGGTTTTGTGGTCAAAAATTGAGCTTTTTGACTGAAATTCAAACTGTTGTGTGTGTTAACAAGTTGCCCCAACCCCACTGAGGAACACCATCCCCACAGTGAAGTATAGAGGTGACAGCATTATGTTGGGCAGATGCTTTTCCTCAGCAGGGTTGGGGCATCTTGTTAACACTTCAGCTTCAGTCTGCTAAAAAGCTAAAATACTATGAGAAACTTCACCTTTCAGCAGGAGAGTGATCCCAAGCACAATGCCAAAGTGAAACAGGAGTGGTTGAACAACAAAAGCGTGAATGTTCAACAGTTCAAAGTCCAGATCTCAGTCCAATCAAGAATTTGTGGCACTATCCATAAATATCATTCAACCAACCTGAACAACCTGGAGCATATCTGTCAGGAAGATTTGGCAAACACCGCTGAAAACAGTGTGCAAAGCTGGTAGAAATGTAAAGCTGTTATTGCAGTCTGAAGGGGCTGAAAACTTATGCACACATTTTATTTTTGTTTAAATTTTTATTTAAAGATCTACTGACAAATAATTAATTTTCACTTTAAACATTTATTTTATGAGCATATTGGTTTGCAATACAAATACTGTGTAGAGAAATCTGTCATTTCTTTTTCAGAATCTGATGACTTTTAAGGGGGTTAAATAATTTTGCAAGGCACTGTAGTATCATTATATATATGTAAAAAATAAAAATCTGCAGGGACTTTTTTCCTTTGAGTTCCCTATGCAAGTGGATTATTTCATACCTAATCTCCTCAGATTCAGTATCGAGCCTTGCATATCACCTTAGTGTAACAGTGACAGGCAGAGGCATGTAAGGTTGGAAACAAAAGGTTTCATTTATTTTTATCCACACCACTTTAAAGTTGGGGGTTCTAATTTAATCAGTTTCATGTTTTATTTTGTTTTCTTTTTTTTTTCAAACTGAAATTTTTCAAGTTTAAGTCTCAAGTCCAAGTCGAGTTGGGAGTCATTTAAGGGTGAGTCAGTCAACTCGGTCTATAATACAAGTCGTTGGCTCGACTTTCTATCTCTGGGAGAGCACAGATATAAATCAGTGATTTTAAGATTGGAAGGATGGAAGAGTTAAAGTGGCAGTAGGGACACAAAAGTAAAGAGTGGACAAATAACTGATAGATTTAAAACTGTACTTAGTTTTGGAGGCTTTTGTGTCATTTGTTACGACCTGTCTAGGGGTTTGAGATGATCATAACATAAAAAAAGACAAAAGACGTTTAAACAGGTCAAATCGTGTTATTTTCTTTTTATGCTGCTCTTTTGTGTGTACGACACAGGAGAACGTCAGAGTGGGCATGCGCCAAAACAATAAACATAACAAGCCTAGCTAGAAATGTTAGATAACTAACTTACCTATGCAAACATAAAGAAACAAAAGTACAGTCAGTCTTTCCTAACTCCCTAACTATACCAAAAACAGGAGAAAACAAGATCAAAAGAAATGGCACCCACTCCTACAACCTGGTCGGCATAAGAGTGAACATTTACAGAGACAGATCATGAGCTTACAGTTTAACTGCAGAGATAACTGGGTATAGAACAAGAGGTAAAGCTAAGCTATTTCATTTGAGAGGAGAGTAGAAAATCGCTAGCAATAAAACAAACAAGCTGCGCTGCGGTTCGGATCTAAAAACAATCGCCCCAAGCCGCCATGGAGGAAAGCCTCGATAACATCCGGCGCAGCCGTCGAAGATATACGCCATGCAATTTCAGCCAGCCAATCAGATGAAATTTCGTTACGGGACTCCAGCCAATCACACGCACAAGTGGGAGGGTTCCTAATAAGCGAGAGAATAAGAGAGAGAGAAAGAACGAAAGGGAAGCAAGCAAAACATACGTCCTATATGGACGTAACACTCCCCCCCATAAAAGGTTCACACACGAGAAAGAGCATCAGCCATTACATTATCTGTGCCCTTCTTGTGCCGAATCTCTAGTGAGTACCCTTGAGCTAGCAAAGCCCACCGCATCAGCCTTTGATTACTGTTATACATGCGAGACAGAAACACAAGTGGATTGTGATCTGTGAATACCTGAACAGGCTGTGAACTAGAGCCTACATAGACTTCAAAATGCTGTAAAGCAAGTAACAAAGCCAAAGTTTCTTTTTCAATAGTCGAATACTTAAGTTGATGCTGATTGAATTTTTTTGAAAAATAACACACGGGGTGATCGATTCCCGAATTATCTTCCTGTAGAAGTACAGCACCAGCACCAGTAGCACTGGCATCTACCTCCAGCTTAAATGGCAGTGCAAAGTTAGGTGCAGACAGAACAGGGGAGCTGCACAACAGGGCCTTAATAGAGTCAAAAGCACTCTGACAGTCAGTTGTCCAAATAAAAGAACGCGCAGAACTCAAAAGGTCTGTTAAACGAGAGGCAATACAAGCAAAATTTCGACAAAAACTCCTGTAATATCCAGCCATTCCTAGGAAGCGGCGCAGTTCACGTTTTGTAGAAGGAACAGGGAATTCTTGAATAGTCGCAACCTTGGCATTTACTGGGCGAACTTGACCCTGTCCAACTTCCTTCCCCAAGTAAACTACGGTGGCTTTTCCGAACTCACATTTGGCTAAATTCAAAGTTAATGAAGCTGCGTCTAAGCGCTGAAAAATCGTTCGAAGAACAGATAGGTGCTCATCCCACGTTTCTGTATAAATGATTACATCATCGAGGTAAGCTTCACAATGGGATACATCAAACAAAACCTGATTCATCAGTCTTTGGAATGTTGCGGGTGCATTTTTCATCCCAAAAGCCATCACTGTGTATTGTAGAAAGCTATCAGGAGTAACGAAGGCAGAAATATCAGAAGCTCGAGCTGTCAAAGGCACCTGCCAATAACCCTTAAGTAGATCCAGCTTACTGACATATTTAGCTGATCCAACTCTATCTACACAGTCGTCAATACGAGGGAGAGGAAAAGAATCTGAACGAGTCACTGCGTTTACTTTACGGTAATCAGTACAGAAACGTGAGGTACCATCAGGCTTAGGAACTAAAAGACAAGGTGAGCTCCAGGGACTAAAACTAGGAATTGCCAAACCATTATCAAGGAGATATTGGACTTCTGACTTCATAATAGCACGTTTTGTTGGATTTATTCGATATGAATTCTGTTTAATTGGAGCGTGACCATCAACATCGATGTCATGTTCGATGACATGAGTACGTCTAGGAACATCTGAAAAAAGGTTTGGAAACTCTGCAATCAAATTTACCATCTCCTGTTGCTCACTGACAGCGAGACCAGATAAAAATGAGGACAAGTCACTTAAAATACTAGAATTTGACAAACGTGCACAAAGTGCAGGAGCCAAACACGCATCTAAACCATCAACACCAGAGCTCGAAAACACAGAAACGGATGCAACAGGAAGGCTAAAACCAGAGTTATCAGAGGAGACTTGTTTCAAATCATCTGAGGTACTTTCTTCTCGAGAGACATAAGACTTAAGCATATTAACATGACAAACTCGCGTTTTTCGGCTACGGTCAGGAGTACGAATGACGTAGTCTGTATCACTAAGCTTGGACTCGATCCGATAAGGACCAGAAAACCTAGCTTGTAAAGAGGAACCTACAAGTGGTAATAGAACCAGAACATCATCTCCAGGCTGAAAAGCTCTAAGAACTGTTCTCTTATCGAAGCGCCGCTTCATAGTGCTTTGAGAAGTAGTTAGCGTTGATTTAGCCGCTATACAAGCTGCATGCAGACGCTCCCTGAACTGACTGACATAATCAAGAACATTTTGATTCGGCTCCGACTCTGACATCCATTTCTCTTTCAAAATCTTCAGCGGACCTCGAACAGAATGACCAAAAACAAGCTGGGCTGGGCTAAACAAAGTCGACTCCTGAACAGTTTCACGAATAGCAAAGAGGACTAAAGGCACACCTTCATCCCACTCATTCCCTGACTCAGCGCAATATTTACGCAGCATGGACTTAAAAGTCTGATGGAGGCGCTCTAAAGCTCCTTGACTCTCGGGATGATAAGCACTGGAAACTTTATGTTTGAGCGAAAGCTGTTGTAAAACCTGTGCAAATATCTTGGACATAAAATTTGACCCCTGGTCTGTTTGGATACATTTTGGAAGCCCGAAAGTAGAGCAAAATTTAATCAAAGCTTTAATAATGGCTTTGGCCCGCAACGTGCGAATAGGAATGGCTTCTGGAAAGCGAGTAGCAGCACACATGATTGTTGATAAAAATCGATTTCCTGACTTGGTTCGCGGTAAAGGACCAACACAATCTAAAATAATTCTCTCAAAAGGCTCTTCCATCACTGGAATTGGGTGCAAAGGCGCAGGAGAGATGGTTTGGTTGGGCTTCCCCACTACCTGGCACGTATGACAAGATTTACAGTACTTTACTACATCTGCTTTCAAACCAGGCCAAAAGAAATGTAATATACGCTTATAGGTTTTCGTGACACCAAGATGTCCAGCTAGACAATGATCATGTGCTAAACTTAAAACTTGCTGTCGACACACTTTGGGGATAACAATCTGACATACGGCATTGCACTCTAGATCAGCAGGAGGAGAAGGGGTCCATTTACGCAGCAGCAAACCTTTATCAAAAAAATAAGCCACATGCTTATCACTAGTAGACGACGTTTCTAAACCCAGCTGCCTACATTTATCCAAAGAAGGATCTGCTTGTTGGGCCTCAATAAGAAAATTACGAGAAGCTACACAGTCTACATCTACATACAAAGCATGAGCACTCAACTTGGGAGTAGATTCAGCTATAGGGACATCGAAACATACAAGCTCTGATTTGGATTCACGGGAGGGCCAAGTTTCAGCAGCCATAAACGTGTCACCCAAATCCAACTCATTACCTTTGCGCGCCTGAGCACGTGTCACCGCACATGCAGGAAAAACAGAGGGAAATTTCTGAAGCAAAGCGTCTTCTCCAGCAGTTACTCTAGGCTCGCTAATGACTTCAGGAACAGGAGTTACCTTTCCACCAGCTAAGTCATTACCCAATATAAATGTGATACCAGCAACAGGCAGATGAGACCGAACTCCAACCTTAACTTCACCAGAAACCAAGTCAGACTCTAAAAGTATGGAGTGCAGTGGAACAGAGACAGGACTAAGTTCGATTCCCTGAACTAGGACATCATAACCGCAGTATGTGTCGTCTGACAAACTAAGAACGTTATCCAAGATAAAAGACTGAGCTGCTCCTGTATCTCTAAGGATGGTAACAGGCTGTTTATCATCAGTAGCTTTAGAAGCGGAAACGTACCCCTGCAGAATAAACGGTTCAAAACCTACATGGCGACATTCATCATTTAAAACAATGGGGCGGCTGGCAAACGCAGCAGACTGTATTAATGCTACACTTTTTCGAGGAGGCGAAGTCTGTTTTTTCTGAAGTACACGGCAGTCAGCAATGAGATGGCCAGGTTTATGACAATAAAAACACTCACGCGTTTCCCTAGAACGCGGATATGTACTTTTACGAGTGTCTTGATTATCCACGGCCAGATCAGACCTAAAGTGACGAAAGGTTCTGGACTTGGTCGTCTCATTGCGAGCCAGTACAGGGAAAGTGCTTTTGTGTGTCAAAGCAAACTCATCAGCAGCAACAGCAGCATCAGCAAGACTAGAGAATTTCTGCTCGTTCAAGTATACAACCAGGTTCTCAGGCAAACAACTCTTAAAATCTTCTAAAAGCATTAATTCCTGCAACTGATCAAACGTAAATACTTGACTAGCGTTACACCACTTATTAAACAGACGTCTCTTCTCTCTAGCGAATTCTACATAAGTCTGGTTGGCTGTTTTCGAGTGGGCTCTGTAGTTTTGTCTGTATGCTTCAGGAACAAGTTCATACGCACGTAGCACAGCAGATTTCACTATTTCATAATCTAAACTCTGTTCAATCGGCAGAGCAGAATACACTTCCTGAGCTTTTCCCACTAATGTACATTGTAGCAGAATTGGCCGAACTCCTTGCGGCCAACGCAGTGTTGTAGCAACTCGCTCAAAAGCAACAAAATATGAATCAACTTCAGATTCACGGAACTTTGGGACCAACTTAATATGTTTACTCACGTCAAAAGCAGCAACCTCATCAGCATAAGGTCGAAATGACACAGAGCGGCGTGGTGACGGTACCGGACGCTCCACAGCTGGCGTAGCAGCAAATAACGGCGGAGCAGAGGTGCGTGGCGCCGGAACAGGCTGCCCTGCGTTTCCTGCCTCCAACTCCAGCCCCGACCCCGGCCTCCGCCCTGGCCGCTAAACAGACCTCCTCCACAACACCCGCACCTTCTGACACAGGACAAGGCCCCTCAAAAAGTATGCCCCTCGCCACCAACACGCCAAAGATAGAAGATTTAAGCTCTGCTTTTCTAACGTTACGGTCCACCCCAATATCATAATGCTCTGCGAGTTGTAGTAAATCAGCCTTACGACACTGCTCAAACTGCTCTACGGACGGCGCACTAATAAATGCACTTAATGAAAACATCACAGCCCAAGACACATCCCCACACACACACAAGAAAACAGCCAAGCAAACGAGTACCCAGCACACAACCAAAAAGAGGACGAGCCCCCAATTTATGTTACGACCTGTCTAGGGGTTTGAGATGATCATAACATAAAAAAAAGACAAAAGACGTTTAAACAGGTCAAATCGTGTCATTTTCTTTTTATGCTGCTCTTTTGTGTATACGACACAGGAGAACGTCAGAGTGGGCATGCGCCAAAACAATAAACATAACAAGCCTAGCTAGAAATGTTAGATAACTAACTTACCTATGCAAACATAAAGAAACAAAAGTACAGTCAGTCTTTCCTAACTCCCTAACTATACCAAAAACAGGAGAAAACAAGATCAAAAGAAATGGCACCCACTCCTACAACCTGGTCGGCATAAGAGTGAACATTTACAGAGACAGATCATGAGCTTACAGTTTAACTGCAGAGATAACTGGGTATAGAACAAGAGGTAAAGCTAAGCTATTTCATTTGAGAGGAGAGTAGAAAATCGCTAGCAATAAAACAAACAAGCTGCGGTTCGGATCTAAAAACAATCGCCCCAAGCCGCCATGGAGGAAAGCCTCGATAACATCCGGCGCAGCCGTCGAAGATATACGCCATGCAATTTCAGCCAGCCAATCAGATGAAATTTCGTTACGGGACTCCAGCCAATCACACGCACAAGTGGGAGGGTTCCTAATAAGCGAGAGAATAAGAGAGAGAAAGAACGAAAGGGAAGCAAGCAAAACAAAACATGCGTCCTATATGGACGTAACACATTTTATTTTTAAATATATTTCCTTTTTTCTTGATGCTGAAAAATGAATAACTTGTACTTAATGGCCTTTTTGACTGGAAGTAAAATAAAGGAAGGGTGATCTCTGACTTTGCATAGTACTTTACATGTAATTACAACTGAGTATGCCTATTGCTAATCCTAAGCCTAACAATAATAACACATACACACACATGCACACACACACAGAGTGCATCATCAATATTAAACAATATGAAAGTCCAAAGTAAACTAAAACATTCTCAAGCAGGTTGAAGATATAGTAATGTTTTCTGTGTATTTCCCTCAGGGTCCCAGCATCTGTTCTCTGTTCTGAGTGTCACGTCACACAGCTCTATTGCGCTGCACAAACTCACCCTGCTGGTCTACAACAGTAACTACACACACATCTCTTTCCCTTCCATCAGTCCTGAGGTGGAATATCAAGAGGACTTTGTGTTGTTTTTGTTGTCTGAAGTTTAACTGTGTGTGTGTGCTATTTGTGTGTGTGTGTGTGCGTGTGCGTGTGTGTGTGTGTGTGTGTGTGTGTACGTGTGTGTGTGAATGTGTATGTGTGTGTGTGTGTGTGTGTGTGTGTGTGTGTGTGTGTGTAGTTTCTGATTTTCAGGACATTGAGAGCAGTTTGTTTCCCATGAGATACTGCTACTGTGTGACAAACAAAACCAATGACCTCACAGGTTAAAAACATTATTAAATACAGCACATTAAGATCCATTTATTCGTTTGCCTGCTACAGTGGAGAGCTTATAGCTGAGTGTGTGTGGTCAGATTTTACAGCTATCCTGTTGGATGTGATGGGGAACTCGACTAGTTATTTACAGGAGCTGTTCAAATCCAGCTCTATCCTCTCAGGTATTGGCAACACACACACACACACAAACACACACATGGCTACATAATCGCAATCATAAATTCTAACACTCATAATATCATTATGCTACAGAACTATAGTTCTATTCATGGCTACATGACATTAACACGTAAACTCTGGACTGTAACCACAAATAAACAGTACAAAAGCCAGAGAGCAATTTAATTTCCAGTCAAAACAGCCTTTAAGCACAAGTTATTCATCTTTCAGGAGAGATGAGATATAATCCACACACATAAGGAAAGGAAAATGACCATTAAAAAAAAAGGGATGTGAGACCTGGTAGACCACCAAAACTGTCACCATCATATGAACAGTATTTAGAGCTGTCCATCCTTCCATTGTGAGAACACAACTCAACACTGTGAGTCTGAAAGGATGTGGTCTGGCCCAGTCAGCCCCATAGCTGCGATGTAGCGTCGCTTAGGCAGCCAGCCTGAGAAGCCTCGTAGATTCGGCGTAGCTCTGCTCATGCAGCCAAAAACCACCAGTCCAGGCAGCTGCAGTTCACCATCCACCAAGCACCCAGCCCAGACCGTGAGGTCACGTCGATCAGGTCCCCAGTCCAGAAAGCCTCGTAGCCGCTCAAGTGGCCGGCCCAGGCTGCATCATAGCTATGATGTACTCTCACCCAAAAGGCCAGCCCAAGAAACTTTTGAGCCACAGTTGGAAAATCACTCTCGGCTGCTGTCTCAGTGGATATGATAGCAAACTCCTTAGCCAGCAGGGAAACAACAAAACACATACACAAACAATACAAAACAAACAAAAAACGGATATAAAGTGGCGGCCATATTGCGTCTTACTTATAGCGGAGCATGCACACACTTGTCTGTCAAGTAGCTCTTACTGAGAACAGGGCACACAAGAAGAAAATCTGCAAACCAAACAAAGTAGCTGCTGGTGTTCTCAGAATAATGTACTGACCACCCTAGAGTCCAGACCTCAACATCACTGAATGTCTTTGGGATTACTTGGATCATGAGAAGCGGAAAATGCAACCAACTAAGACTGAACTTTGAAGATTTGGGACAATGCCCCCGCAGATTTCTTTAAAAAATAAGTCTCACTAAATGGTCCCTGGTCATAGTAAACAGGATTCACCATATCATAGCATTAAAAAAGACAAAATTCTTGTTTTCCTGCAATCTTCAATTGCAGTTTACTCCTAATAATATAATGTTTCACCTCCCACTTCCACTACACCTTTCATCAAGCAAAATGCTCAGCTTGCTCAGAGACCCTCCATAATACTTGCCACTTGGAAATGTTGTAGTGAACTTTCTTCTACCCCTACCAATTCAGACAGCCTAATGCCTTTCTGAGCAAATGTGCGTGTGTGTGTGTGTGTGTGTGTGCTAAACTCCTAATGCCTCTTTGTGTTGTTGCTGCAGTTAGCCAGAAGAACAGCTCAGACTGCATCTACATCTGTGTAATGGCTGGAAAAACAGGTCAACTATAATACACACTCACACAAACATCTACACACACAAAACACTGCTTCTGTGAATTTACAGTAACACTTTTTACATTCAAATTCAGTGCATATTGATATATTTATGTTTTCAACAAAGGAAAAATAATTCAAATATGGCATGTATTAATGTCTATTTTATTTAAGCAGATCAGTCAAAACTCAAACGTATATATATATTGACATGCCAAAAGTCACGGGACAGAAACCGTGTAGGACCCCCTCTAGCCTGGTGAAGTACAGCAATTTGACATGGCATAGATTCCACAAGTGGACGGCAGACGTCTGGAGGGATATTGAGCCATGCTGTCTGGATAGCCATTCATAGCTCCATGGTATTTGTAGGTGCAGGATCTCAGGTGCCAATGGACCTCTCCACCACATGCCATAAATGTTTGACTGGGCTCATGTCAGGTGGACTTGGAGGTCACACCATTTGTTGGAACTCTCCAGAATGCTCTTCAAATCAATTCTGGACAACTTGGGCCTGATGGCACAGTGCATTATCCCGCTGGAATATCCAATCATTGTGGGGGTACATAAAGTCCATGAACGGCTGCAAATGGTCACTAAGCAGCGAAACGTAGCGGTCACTGGTCAATGATGTGTTTAGGCGGACCAGTGAACATACCGCACACCAGTACAGAACCACCACCAGCTTGCACAGTGCCTTGTTGACATCTGGGCCACACACAAACCCTTATCATCAGCCCAAAACAATTGGTACTGTGACTCATCAGACCACGCCATGTTGCTCTAGGGTCCTCTAGGTTCCAGTTAGCAACCTCATGAGCCCAGGTCAGGCACTCTGGTTGGTCTTCCACTCCCATCCCATGGAATCTAAAGAACGTTGCACTGACTTGTGGAATACACATTGTACCTCTTGCATTGAATGTGGATGTGATTTCTGCCAGAGTCCGCATTCCCAGTACACACGTGACACTGTGGATTGAGGAATGTTAAATGCCTGCACAACTTTAGAAATGGAATGTCCCATTCGTTTGGCACCCACTATCATGCCTCATCTGAACTCTGATAATTCACATGGAATTGCCATGAGCACACTGGCCAGTGTTCAGTCTCATCCACAAGATAACACCTCACAACTTTTACAGGTGTGGGCGATCCCAAGCTGTCCCCTGAGGTAAAGGCACTTCATAATCAATTTACACGCTGCTATCTCATGACTTTTGGCACGTCAGTGTATATATACACACACACACAAAATACACTGTATGTTCAATGGTTTGTAGAAACCCCTTCTTATTAGTCAATTCAGCTGCATTAAGGTGCACACACTTCTGACACAGGAGTTCAAATGGACACACAGCTTGTATAGTCTCCATAGAAAAGCACTGACAACAGAACAGGATGCTCTGGAGCAGCCCCACATGAGCCTGAGGTCACCATGTATAATGCCAAGCCTATAATAATGCCAAGTATAAGGTCCACTGACCCTGAGCTATATAGAACTGACCCTATATATATATATATATATATATATATATATATATATATATATATATATATCCTATGTTCTGCTCTATGTTCTCTACAGTTCTGCTGTCCTCTAACCATTCATTAAAAGGACCACTGTTGTATAGATATTTTTAGTTGGCAGACTATTCTGAATTAGTTTAATATACATGATAACTCTTTACAACTCTGTCTTTATGTAAAACTTTACAATTTAATATACTATATTGTCAAAAGCATGTGGATACTCCCCTAATTATTGTGTTCAGGTGTTTCAGCCATACTATTGCTAACAAGTAAATAACATCAAGCACATAGCCATGCAATCTCAATAGATAACATGGAGCACCGGTGGCCTGCATAGAGTCCTGACTTCAACCCCATTGAACACCTTTGAGATGAACTGGAATGACTGCAAACCGGGCCCTCTCTTCCAACATCAGTACCTGGCTCTTTTGACTGAATGGGCACAAATTCCCACAGACACACTCAAAAACCCTGTGGAAAGCCTTCCCAGATGAGAAGAGGCTGTTACAGCTGCAAAGGATGTGATGCAAAAAACATTAATGCCCATGGTTTTAGAATGAGATGAAACAAGCTTATATGGGTGTGATGGTCAGGTGTCTACATATTTTTTTCCATATAGCATAATTCTTATAGTAAAAGACATTTTAGACATTTTTTACCTTTAGTTTTAGTAAAATCTATTTAGAGACTTCATAAAACACTTTAAGGATCCACAGGAATCATGTACAGGTGACGCATGTTTTGTGCTTTTCATTTTCTCAATGCCTTTTCTTTGTCTGTTTAGACAGAGATCTGTCGCAGCTGTGGGATTCTGTTCCTCCACTCTTCAACCACACCATTATAGAGGACACACACAAAGGTACACACACCCACATACACACACACATCGGCTCCTGTAAATTGTGGGGACATTACATAGACTTCCATTCATTTCTTGGAGAATTATCTAAACCTTAACCATAACTACTACTAGGCTAACCCTAACCCTGAAATATGTCTTCACCTTAAAATGTAATGATTTGCATCATTGATTTAAAGGTTTATGCCTCACTGTAGGGACCTTTCTGTAGGGATCTACATACTGTGCAAACCTGCGCATTTTTTATTCTTTCTGTATGATAACATCTGTTTGGGTCATATCATAATTATAGAGGAGAAGTGATACAATTTTGCTCGAGTGCGGCTATAGAAATCCGGACCTCTCTGATACCGCTCCATCCTACAAGGATAACACATGGTAAATTCCTCAGCTCCACTACTGACATGCTTAAATTTGTCAGTATTAATACATGTATCCTTGACTTTATTTGATCACTTATATATTTATAATGTTTATAATGCATGTTTATGGTGATCTGACACACTTTATCCACTGTGAGAAAACACATGTGGACTAACTAAAACTCTACTCTCGCTCAGTGAATTTTCTCTCATCTGAGCCATAGACCAACTGGTTAAAGAAACAAGTCTACATGCTAATGAACATGAGTTAGCAAATTAGTGTTTTTCAGTGTGACAGTGGACGCACTTGTGAATGCAAAATTGATAATCTCACTCCTCACCCAAGTTGGCGACACTGTTAAGCTGTCATACATTTTTTTTGTAACATAAATCATCATAAAAAATTTTCAAATTTCCAAGCCTGAGGCCATTAACTGACTTACTGCGGCCTTGGTCAATATCCACTTATCATTACTGTCATATCAAAACCTTACAACACTTTCTTCCTTTTTATGCCATTTGAAAATGCCAACTGCCCTTTTTCTTACATGAACATTTCAAATAGTCCAAAATTAGAATCTTGTTGGTTAACGTACAATCAGGACCACCAATATTTGGACGTAAACAAAGTTACTGTTATTTTAGCTACCACAGGATATTGGGAATTCGGACGGTTGAAATAAATAACGAATATGAGTATTTACATCTAAACTATTCTCTCTCACTGTATGCACAGTGATGTCATACAAAATGTCAAATATTTATTTTTTCATTTTTTCATTTAACTGAATAGTTTTGATAATTTACTTCAAAGTGAACATGTCATGACTAGTAAATAGATAATATTGATAAAGCAGATGTTATCATTCAGGGGTGACAGTACAGCTCTACATGGGCCACCAATACAGCAGCCACACACTTAATTTAACCACAAAGTTAAAGCAGAATTCCACTTATTTTTTGTATAATTAATAATATTTTGTATACTTACAATGGTGAAGAAATAAGTTTTTTTTGGGTACTTTACCTTACAACGCTCTGCATCTACCTCTCTACTATGCATACTTTAAAAATACCTTTCTGTGAGGTAGCCAGTAGAAGCATTAAACACTTCGGATGTCTGCTTCCTATCAACACCTCTGTGAACAATTCCAACTCCATTAGTTTCTCTAGAATGGAGCATTTCACATCAAACCACTCGGAATGACTTTATTTACATCTTGATTTAATGACAAAGAAAATTTGAAAAATCAAATTTCAAATCAAATAAAAAACTTTAACAGTGAGTGTGTTTACATGCACACCAGTAACACAATCATTATCAGATTTCGGCAGTTATCTGATTACTCAAGTCATCATGGAAACAGCATACTCTGGTTTCTTAGACAGGATTAAGGCTTTTTTTTTAAATTATTGAATTCTAGAAATCTGATAAAGAGAGCTGGATTTTAGCTCAGTAATCAGGTTTCTCAGTGCATGTATACCCTTACTCTGATTTCTTTCATTTGTCTCAGTCTGTGCATGTGCAAAAGCAAAGCACTGTCCCAAGTAGCGTTTAACACAGCAGCCGTGAGATGGCAACAAAACACTTTTGGAAGCTGAAACTAACTAAATTCTTCACAAAATGAAGAACTTGAAATGTTCTTCATCTTCTAGATTATATACAGTCATTGTTTTCTGTGGAAAAGGACTCCTTTTTTTTTAAGGAGTTTGAGTTGTGAGTTACGTCCTATTCTATGAGTTTATTGGTAGGATGTGAATCAGAAATTCAATAATTGCCTGACTCATGTAGACTCAGAGTTTATCATTCTCTGATTATCCAAGTGCATATAAACACATATAAACACATATAAACACGTTGAACAAATTACTGACAAAATCAGATTTTCGGCAGTTATTGGATTATTAAGTGCATCTACACACAATCAACGAAAATGGGAAAAAATATGACAGGCTAAGACTTTGAAAATATAAGTAAACAAACATCTATAGGACACACTAGACTCACTGAATTTTAAACAGTTAAACAATTCTTAATAGAGGGTACCAGAGCATCATCAGCACCTTCACTTCCCATTTCCCTGCTGATGCCAGAACATTTAATTGTTTTAATTCAAAAATTAAAATTATAACTTTTAATTTTTTATTTTTATTATTACTTTTACTGTTTTTATTTATTTATTTTAAGAGTCAATTCTAACCTCTCCTATTTTTACCCACAGGTACCCCTAAATCTTCTACCCTATCCCCTGCTGTTTCTATAGCCACGCAACCCTCAGTTGTCACCATGACAACTACACCTGTTGTTTCCACTGTAACCGAACATTCTGCTGTTGCTTTGAGAACTGTGGATACCAGCGGCCCCATGTCAACTGTGCAAAGTACCTCCGAAACCATACCAACTACTGTTCCCATAACACCCGTGCCTTCTAGTGTTAGCATGGGTACATTGGATTCTGTTCCCATGACAACTCACCTAATACCTGCTTTGATGACAGCCAGACTCAGTGAAGTACCCACAGTAACTACAGCTTCCAAGACAACCACTGAAGTTAGTGTGCCCATATCAACTGAACCACCAACCACACCACCGTTCAGTACTGTTACCGGACGACCTACACAGGCTTTTGTTTCTGGGACAACATCCTCTGCTATTTCAGCAATAAAACGACCCACTCCTGTACCGATGACAACTCGGCCTACTACTGATACCACGACAACCACTCCAGCTACCACCAAAGGTCCGCCAACAGACAAACCAGGTACTCAAGTACAGTCCTCACACATACACATTTGGCATACTATATATATTTTTAAAACTTGTTTTCATACAGCTCTATTATATGTACAGCTATTAAAGTACTTGGTTAACTATCCCTGATGCACCTGTTTGTTACATTCTATTACGGACAGTCAGGGAAAAAATACACAAGCCAACAATTCAGTGAAAGGGCTCTACAGTGGGACAGTTTTGCTCGTATTTTAGAATAAGTATATTATATTATACTATGCTACAACAAGACATGGGTGCCTTAACATGAACATGTTAATGACGCTTTGTTGAGGACGTGACTGAGAAGGCAGAGTTAGTGGAGGAGCAAACCTATGTTGAGGGCACAATGTTCCCAGGGTCCTATGTTCAGTTCTTTATATGATACATCATACCTTGATATGATACATTAAGGGAACCTATGAAAAAGTTCCCAAGGTCCTAGTTAACATCATGGAGTCATCAAAAGTCAAAAAAGGAACAACACAGCAGATTTTTCAATACAAGGGCACTTGCTTCAGCTAGGCTAGCCTCAGTGAGCTAATTAGCTAGCTAAGCAGACTTTGTAATCCAAACCATTTTTTGAGAAGTTGGAATGTAGAATTTACCTTTTTGAGATGGTATAATGGGAAACAGTGAGGGCAAGTGGAAATGGTGAGGGACATGAAGGGCATCTTAAAAAGAGCATTGAAATGGAGAGTAGATGTTGTTATTAGAATAGAACAGAACCCTGGGAACATAGCGATGACCCTGTAACTAGGGTAACTACTCTAGTTTGCATTAGCTAGAAGCAAAACAATGTTCTCAGTGTCTCTGTTCACAGTGTTATCTCAACAAACTAGCATCTTGGTTCCTCATCACCAGTTCTGTTATTAGCATTAGCTCATTAGCTCAGTAAACTCTCTTTTACTCAAGCACAGTGATAAAAAGATGTCCCTTGGCTATTTTTAAATAATAAGACATGTTTTAAACGTATGCCTCTGTGGGCTGTTACATTTTTGCGAACACTAAGGAATTTATACATTTTTTAGCCCCTTAGCACAAGTGCACCACCATGTTTCTGTATTATGGCATGTTAATATCAGGCGCAAAGCTTATTTTCTTTCCTTAACCAAATATCTAGTAAATCCTATGGATATATCAATAAAAATCAAAAATAAATCAGAATGCATGTCCCTAATGTATTAAGCATCCCCATGCAAATGCAACATAATCAAACTGTTATTTAAACCTTTAGGTAACATTGACCTAAAGCCTAACCCACGCCATCACTCCTCACATTCACAAAGATTATTTGAACTATTACATTTATGAGAACTAACCATTGACCTGGTATTGTAACCAAATTTGTTAACCATAATGATTGCTATAACCTAATTCTAATCTGTAATCATAAAACAAAATTAACCATAACCAAAGACCAAAAATGAGCTAAATAAATAATAAAAGTAAATGTGAAAGGGTCCATATTGTGAAAAATACAAATTTTCCTCCCTTTTTTAAAAAAATAAAAGAGCTTAATGTAGTATGTAAACACTGTTTTAGTCCATATAAAAAAACAGCCTGCTTTGAATTCATTGTTTTTGTGATGTCACAAAAACCAACTCAATTACATATATCTACCTTCAGCCTACATCTGTTTACTCCCACCCATTCACAGTGAAGTTACAAGGAGTGTTTCAGCCCACATTGCTTCTTGTTGAAGCATAATACAGGGCCGCCAATCAGAACAGAGCTCAGTAACAAATACAGCCTGCCTAAGTCTAAGACATAAAGAGCGGATGGAAATTGGTCATGAATTAAATGAATGATAATTTTTTTGGTACATAAAGCCAGACAAAACTTTATAGGTGAATTTCAGAGGAAAGAAACATAAAATGCAAGGAAAATTTAGAATATGGGCCTTTTAAAGCTGAAAAAACTAAACAGCAGATTCTTTCCTAAGACAGAATCAGGATAAATATCATTTTACAGCTTTTGACATTTTTCAGTTTTACATTTAGAGAGCACACATGCACACATACGCATGCACACATGCAACAGCTTGGCTGAATGGAGGATATAGAGTTGTCAGAGACTGACCTCTGACCCCTAATTCAGATAAAGAGCCAGTGGTGGTTCAGTGGTGCCCAGGAGGGGTTAATGTGTTGCCACAGCGATGATTTGATTTGAGAGGAGGCTGGATGGTGCTAGTGATAGTGTCCATGGCAACGCTGCCTAATTCCCCTGGAGAGTGGTTTGACTGGCAGGGTCAGAGAAGGTTAAAAGCACATTAAAAATCTCCACACACATACACACAACTCCATTCCATCTCTCTCTCACACACACACTCAGAGCACAGTTGTTTGTATCTGTACTGTGAGGGACATATTGACTTCTCAGTTGTTGCAGTGCACATTAAAAGCTCTTACCGGTTCAGGGGTCCTCGCTGAGTGATATGTGTGTGAGGAGAGAGAGAGACCCCTGCTGGGCATTATATGTAAATGCATGTGAGAACAACATTGACCACAAGAGGGCACAAAGACCTCATGTTAAAGCCTGGTCTCACTGGAATGTCTTCTGCTATTCATTTCTATGACTACAGCGCGTGTCAGTGAGTCATACTGTATTACTTAAGAATGCTGTAGTTTACTTTGCTGCTGGAAATTACAATCACAGTGAGTAGACTTTGAGCTAGTTGCTGTATTAGGTGTGTTAGATTTGGGTTGGAACTGAACTGTGTTTATGGCACAGATATTTGTGGTTAGATGTGAGAAAAGACATTCTTCCGACACGTGTTCCAAATAATTTGTTGGCATATATGTGGTGTCTAATAGAATTCCACAACCTTCTCCAAATCTCCTATTGTAAGAAACTGTTGCCTCTCCAAACATCGTCCTGACTGTGCGTGGAGGCAAAATAAATGTCCTTAGCCAGGCAGGTTCACTACAGCTCCAGTTGTTTTAAACTCTTTAACGTCCGGGTAAAGTAGTTATTGTTCTGAGTTTGTCATACCACAGAAACATGTGTTAATAACCACCCAGCGAAATTTGAAAGTTTAAGTTCGCCAAGTATATAAAATTAGGTTTAAAACTTGTGTAAAAAAAAGCATTATTCTCTGCTCTGAAATGCACGGGCATGTCAGCTGAAGTTGCTGAAACCACACCCAATCGTGGGAAAGGTGCAGCCTCTCCCAAAACTTTAGCTTGCAGCTGCTGCACCATTTAAAATGGAATGGGAAAATCTGAAAAAAAAGCTGGCAAACAAGAAGCCAATTTAAGCGTCATACTAACATTACTACCCGAGAATCAACCTCGTTCCTCTCAGTCTGCAACTGAATGGTAATATTTTTCTCCATTTACACAAGCTAGTAATACGTATTACTGACTATCATAAGCTAATAAAATCAGGCTATCAATAAATAACATGGAAAAAACTTATTTTGCAAACTCTAATGCGCTGTTGTTTTTATACCGTTACAGTGTTAAGATCATGCTAATGGTTCCAGTGCATCTTCAGCCACGTTTAACAATCCAACTCCGCAATTCAGTACTACAAAGTTCACAGTATTTTCACGTTTTTAGCAATTATTTTCTAGCATGTATAATGTGTCTATAAACAAATCTCTGAATTTACTTTACACAGGCTTTAATTATTGCCCTAAAAGTGGATTTTAGCATTTTCAGGTGTGGTCATAGCTTGCTTTAGGGATGAACCATGAATTGTTTATGTACAGGTGTGAAAGAGTGCAATTTTCAAGTCACAAAAGTGGTGATTTTGGATTATATTCTGTATTATTTTATGTTGTCTTAACAAATTTAAGTGGGTACACTGTAAAAATGGCTCATCAGATCAACCTAAAAATCTACTTCATATTGTTAGAAGCAATTGAACTATTTTTATTCAACTCAAAACATTACTTTGATTGAAAGAATCGTTCATTCAGAGTATTTATTTAGGTTGGATGAAACTAGTTCATTTACTTGTTACCACGCAAGTAATTTTTTCAAGTTAAACTGACGAGCCATTTTTTACAGTGTAAATTTAACCTAATAACACGGAGCTTCTGAATTAGTAGTCTGGCACACTACATTCAACATTCAAGCCATTCAAGCCAAGAGTCAGAGCAAAATAGACGCACTGGTCTTCTTGAGGAAAAAAGACCTGGAGCTTAATTTATAGAAAATAATCACATTTAAATCACAATATTGGTCAGAAAAATCACAATTAAATATTTTTCCCAGTGAAAACAGGAAATCACGCATCACCGCTTAAACACTCCTGAACAATCAATTGAATAGATTTTGTTCTTAATAGTTTCTAGGGGTGCCAGTAATTGTGACGCACATGGTTTGAAATGTACTTCAAAGTCCTTAAAGGTTAGAATTTCCTCATATTTTTAGTGTGACACTGAGCTCATCAACCACAAACACATTTTTTATCATCTTTATCAAGGGCACCAATAATTATGGATTTATAACTGATGTAATAAATAATGTAAAAAACTGTGGTGACAACCCCACTCAATAAAAATAGTATAAAAATCTGCACATTCAAATGGTTCATCAAGATGTCATTATTCTATATATAACCATTGCTTTTCTTAAAGAACCCCTGAAGAAGCCCTTTTTCAAGGTGTACAGTAGATGATGTGATGTACTGGATCAGATAAGGCCCCTCACTATATGCTTTGATTTAAAGATAACCTGTCATCAGTCTTGCTTCCCAGCAAGGCACAAATGCCAAGAACAAATGGTTAAACAAGACTGAGAAGAATGTAACAGCAGGGTGACATTTCTGTTGCTATGGGAGATTCTGTGCTGTCCTGGCAGGTTGCCCATGGAGATCAGAACTTTTCTATAGAGGAAGTCAGAGAGAGGACCTTAAGGATACTCTGAATGAGGACCTGAGTGGAGACAGTCCAACGGTCAGCGCGATAAAGCTGCAGCCATGTGTGTTCGAGCTGTGCAAGTTTTTCTCCCAGTGCCTCTGCAGAGGGTACAGCCACAAAACCTCTCTGCAGAGGTAAAAACACATACATGCTACAGAGTGTATGGCCACATAAGCACTCACAGAATTGAAATACCCATAGATAGTAAATGTAGAAAGTATAGCCAGATAATTGCTCCACAGAAATAACATATAGCCTCTGCAGAAGGGTGTATGTAACAAAACCACTGTCAAAAGGTAGCACATGTTCACACAAGCTCATAATTCAGTCAATTGTACACTTGAGAGTACTGCAGTTGCATTGTTCTCACTAACTTCTCTCTCCCTCTTTAGCTATTGCATAGACAGCCATTTCTGGTATGAAAAGCACACAGTAGAGGTCTGCAGTCGTGTGAGAAGAGTCGCCTTCTCCAGGAGTAAGTAGTAGCACACGGCAGATATCAACGGCACAAACTCACAAAAACTGTTACAACGTTTTTAAAAACTCCAGTTAACAATCTTATACCATATAAAAAAACAGGACAAAAACAGCAGCAAACAAAGAAGGATGAATATAATTAAATATGTAATTGATAGCAGAATTAGCCTAAAGATTCTGAAGATGAAAATCTCTTAATACAGGTCTCTTTTGTTCTTTTATTATAAGAAAACACACAGTGGCCCCAAAAAGCACTTGGACATTTATGCAATACTTATAAATGTATTACAATCATTGTGTTAGAAAACAAAATGGCACACCAAGTGGCATTTATTTTAAACAGACCATTCCAAGGCGCCTGATGTGCTTCAGATCATTATGCTGCTGATACCGCATATAGAATACCTTTGTTCACTTCTGAGTTCTTGATCCTATCAATGAATACAAGCTCACTGACACAATTGTAAGAAAAACAGCCCCAGACATTTCCACCTCTGCACTTTACAGTGACCGTAGTGCAGTCTGGTTGGAATTCTTTTCTGGGCTTTCTCCACACAGTCTACCATCAGTTTGATGCTGCATTAAAACTGCTTTCTCTGAAAAAAAATGATATTTTGTTCAACATTTTATGAAATAAAACCATTAAAGTTTACTAGTGGTTAAGATGTCGAAATACAGTTTGTAACTACTGTACTTTTCACCATTGCACTTCAAAAAAATGTATGTCTTCCTTTAGTAACAATGTTTTAGTTTAGAAAATTACACACATGGACACTCTTGCACACTCACCTTCATACATCTTGTCTTTCATTGTATCACACACACAGTGTTGCTACGACTAAAAGCTTGGCAAGGAAAATGATATCCTGCCCTTAAACGTAAAACAAGGTTCTTGGTTCCTTAGAAACTGCTTTCATTAACAGATAACTGGTCAGTGTAGATGCTGAGTGGGTCACCAATGTCGAGAACAAAGGACAAACGATCATGACCAGCAGTTTCCAAGAGAACAGCATAGTTTTAGCAGCATAGAACAGCTGGAGTTTGAGGCTCTAGAGTGGGACAGGTAGTGTGACAATGGTAATGATGCTCTCTCTCTCCTTCTTCTTTTTCTCTCCTCCCTCTTTCCTTTCTTCTCTCTCGCGTTTAATCAATCTCTCTAAAGTGTGCGATTAAGAACACAACTCAAAGCTCCCTTCATCTCTCTAACACAAATGCACAAGGGTCAGAGGCGTCCTCGTTAAAGAAAATTAGGTGTGTGTGCACTTGTTCCGTAAGAAGCGTTGGAATCTGAACTCATTAAAGTGTGTGTGTAAGACGGGGGAGAGCGAGAAAAATAGATCTCTCATTAAAGTACACCAGACATGACTAATGGTGTCTAAGGTCAGCTAAGATGGTGTGTGTCTGTGTGTGTGCGCGACAGCCATGAATCAATAAGTTAGTCAGAGGAGAATAAATAGTTTTTTTGCATGTTGACCACCAAGTATTATTATGTATGTTGAAATACTGTTGGCCACTGAGTTGTTTCGGTGCACTTTGCAATTTAGGAACATTTTGAGTTTACAACTGAATTCACTTTTACTTTTTCATTAAACTAGTGCAGAGGCATCAGAATATGCTGTGTGTGTTCAGTTCTTTTAAATTAGGGCATCACCTTAACTGCAAAAGTACTTAAAAGATATGTGATCATTAACTAAAGTCAGGTTTGGAAAAAAATGGCATAATTCCAATGAATTGAAAAGATGCTGTGCTTGATCAGGACTGTGTCAATGTTTCAGAGACAGTGGAATAGCCATGCCAACATGGACAACTCCATGGCAGCAAGTGGTACTTTTCTTAGTTTTTAAGCTTTTATTTTCTGACAGCATTTGGACTTTGAATTTATATGCAATGTTTAATTACAAAGGTTTGACTGCCTGCAAGTCAAAGCCTACTGAATGCCAAGGTGTATGAAATATGAAATTTTCTAGTTCCATTCTAGTGTGGAAAAAAAGATTTTAGAAAACGCTGTTGGTGTGGACAAAGATCTTATTCTAACTCTCGGTAATAGTAAAATAGCATTCAGAAGCATCATCACTTGATAAAATTTCCTAAATACTATTCTTACTTTAGGACAACCCCAGTGGCACAATGACATTACATTTATCTATACTGCAAAACAATGGAGATAAGTCTACACTGCAGACAAGATGTTGATGAAAACTTTTAAAATAAAATATTCCAGTGGTGTAGGTGAATAAGGAGAAGACAGACTTGAATGTGTAGCTGATTATTAGGAGCAACGATGTAGTGCGGCTTGCGCGCCGGCTAAGGCTTTTAGGAAACGGAAACTGAAATTGAGGATCGGCGAGGCTCTGATTAACAGCATGAGGTGCTGTCACAGTATTCTTAACTTTGTTTATTGCAATTAAGTTCAGCTTTAACCTTTTATACTTCAGTAACAGTAGCTCTAACTTACATTTTTTAATTTTCTCAAGTTGAGTTTCCAGTATTTGTCATGCTGGTGAAAATCACCTGGGTGAACATTTCCCTTAATGAAAGCAAGGATGAAGCATTCTCCTCAAAGCGCATTCAGCTGTCCAATGAAATTGCGTTAGTAGCAGTTCTAAAAGATGTGGTGGCTGGCTTCACATGACTGGGAGGAAGCTTGTGTTTGCCTTTGCCCTCTTAGTGCTGATGGTATCGTGTGACTGGGAGGGTCCTCACTAGTGGGTAAATTGGATGTGAATTAGTCCAGGAGAAAATTATAGAAAGATAAAAATATAGAATAATTAGAAGTTCTTCAGTCACAGTCACACCATGGCTGATGAGAGAGGTAATGTGTTGGGTTGATGAAAAGTTCATAGTGTATCATTAGTTATCATTGCTATGCCATTAAGGACTAGCTTGCAACAATTTGAACCAATTTGCAACAGCGCCTCCCTGAGGCAGACCAGTGCTGCATCACTAGTTAGTTAAGAATATCAAAGGCAGAAGCTCACCATTTTTGTGGGTGAAGCGGGCTAAACAATGACCCTAACAATGTTCCCTAACAGACAGCATTACATTCCCCGCCCCAGGGTTTTGATTTTGAGACATTCAGGGGGACGTCAAGAGGTTAATTAGGGGGCCCAGGACCCCCTAGGAACCCCTGTATTTCGCACTGTGCCGAAACAGTGCATTACAGATGTGTGAAATATCAGTTTATGCCAGCATGGCATTTTCTGTCAATCACGTTCTAACAAAAGACAGCACTGTAAAATCGTATCTATGATAATTCATCTCTGTTAGCGCTTGCAAGCAGGTTTGGGTTGGATTCAAGTTTCAAATTTAGCAGTACATGTTGGGCCTGGTCAGGTTGGGTCGAATCTCAAAGTTGGGGATCAGGGAAACAGCAAGACTGAACACTGTCAGGTTACAGAAGCTACTTTGTGCAATAAACAGAATAAATGATTCATAGTGTGTATTTTATTTCACCTAACATCTCTATCTCTCTTTCTCTCCCTCACACACACACACACACACACACACACACACAGATCTGAAGCAGAAGTGCCTGGCAAGGATGTGTGTGAAGATGTGAGAAGAGTGTGACCCTGCCAGACTGTTACTGAGCAACAGACCAAAATCCTGAACTTCCTCAGCTTTGAGAGAGAGCGAAATATATGAGAGAGAAAGAGAGTGAGAGAAAACATCTCTTTTTCTCTTTTCTGCTTGTTTGTTGAGACCATATTACTGACCTTTTTGTTTCTCTTGATTATAAATAAAAGTCCACAGTCAAATGTATTTAGCAAATGCTCTGATTAATGAAAATAAAAATAGCTTGAGCTATTCAGTGCAGTACACTCACATTTCGTAGGTAACATAATCCTTTATTAGACCCACACCGGGGAAATTCACAGTGCTACAGCAGCAACGGGATAGCAAGGCACTCAAGAAAAGAAGTAGTAAGAAGAGAATTAACAAACAAGTAATTAACCTTGTTAATTACTTAACAAGTCTACAGTTTGTTACTTGTTACTATATAGACAATATATATATATACTAAAGGTAAAAAAAATACAATATAAAATATAAACTCTATCCTTCACAAACATTAACAATATAAACAATTATAAATAAAAAAGCAAAGAATCTTTACACTGTAAGGATATTTTACCCAAATTGCATATAGAGTATTGCACATAAAATACTGATTTATATTATACATGGGAATGGTGAGGAGTTGGCAACATAAACATTATCAATAGAAAAGCAAAAAATCTTTACACTATAGAGATATTTTACAACTATTCCACATGGAGTATTGCTTATATTACACACTGGAAACGGTGATGAATTCACAGTTGAGTTGTGTGCTGTAGGTGTGTGAGGTCTAATGTGGGGGGTTCTACTGGGAGCAGTGCTGGTTGTACAGTCTAACAGCAGCAGGAAGGAATGACCTGCAATAACGCTCCTTCGCTGTAACTCTGGGGTGAAGCAACCTGTCACTGAAAGAACTGCCACAGAGTCTCATGCAGGGGGTGGGAGCTGTTCTCCAGCGTGGATGCTAGTCTGGCTCACATCCTCTTTTCTCTCACTACCTGCGCTGGGTCTAAGTGGCTTCCCAGGACAGAGCCGGCCTTCTTAATGAGTTTGTCTAGTCTCTTCCTGTCCACAGTTGAGATGCTGCTACCCCAGCAGACCACTCCATAAAAGATGGCTGATGCCACCACTGTGTCGAAAAAGATCCTCAGGAGCCCCCTGCACTCCAAACGACCTCAGTCTCATAAGCAAGTAGAGTCTGCTCTGGCCTTTCCTATAAAGTGCACTAATGTTATCTGACCAGTCCAGTCTATTGTTGAGGTGAAAACCCAGGTACTTATAAGAGTCCACTCTCTCAATGTCTATTCCCTGGATGTTTACTGGTGGAGGGAGGTGACTGACTGAATGATACCCATTATTTATCATTCTAAAATCCTAAAGAGGTAGATTAACGAAGACCTTTAGGTTAATATCAGATTCTAGAGGGTGAAGTGGCATGCCTTGAGAGCATCAGCTTGTTTGAGATAATTTACAACAATGAATAAACAATTTTTCACTCATGACTTTTGCACAGTACTGTATGTGAGGACTTATTTTTGATTAGTGCATTTATAAGCAAGCATTATTAGTACTTTAACTCAAGTAAAAATATAAATACTTTTATGCAAGTTACACTTTATCAAGTGTATCCTTCAGTTTCACTTCAGGATTTATGTGCTTTGTCCACTACCACATCTGAAGGGATGATGATTGGGTTTACTGAGGGGCATTGTTTGTAAGGCTACATGACACCTACATAAGCCTTTGGTGAAATCTGACATAACATACCTACACAGACATTTATAAAGGAATAATCCAACATTCTTGGGCAGCTTTTGTCTGTTTTGATGTTATTTCACCTAAGACACTGAAATGACAACTGCCACTTGTCAGAATAAGCCTTTATAAATGTTTACATTGGTTTTTCTTAGTTGGCATGAAAGTGACAGTTACGAACAGATATGTACTCAATTCACTGTCACATATTACTTGCAATTAATTACAACCACCAACTTTTAGAAGTCACTTCTTCTCTCATCGGATTAGCGAGACACCTGTAAAGGACTCAATTAGGCAGATGAAACAACGTAAGTATCAGTATGGCAGACCACAAGCTGTTGCTTTGCTCTGAGAGTAGCATGTTTAGTTATGCTTTTCTCTCTGTCACTAGTGATAGCAGTGTTACTATCTTCATTTGTGAGAAGTGTAAGTTAGTTCTGTGCTTTATGGAGAACATTATACAGTTAGAGGTGTGCATCCTGAAGTTAGAAAAGAGCAGGGCTAGTTAGCAGGGCTCAGACTTGCTCTTAGAAGCTCTGGGTGCCTCAGGGAGAGCTAGCACGCCCTCGACTCCGGCATCAGAGCCCTCACAGTGGGGTGAATGGGTGGCGCCTCAGCGGCATAATTGCAAAGCTAAAGCTAATGCTAAAGCTACCCCACACAAGCAACACTCATCTCCCATTTATGTGTCCAACAGGTTTGCCCCACTCAGTGAGACACTCTCTGAGATGCCTGTTGAAAGAGCTCTGAAAAATAGTTTCTCCTTCAGGGGCATCAGTAGCAGTTAGCTGTATACTGGGAGCCAGGGCGCCAGACATTAGAGGCAACCTGAAGCCGCTAGCTAGCTGTAGATATTGGAGGATATTCATTCGTGTACGAACTAATGACGTTCACCTGCAGCAGTCAGAAATAACTAAAGATAACATTAAAGAGGTGTGTAAATTAGCCCAGACAATGTCTGATGCCGTAATATGCTCTGGCACCATCCCGGTTCGATGTGGCACCGAAATCTACAGCAGGTTATGGTCGCTGAACTTCTGGTTGTCCAAGTGGTGCTCAGAAAACAATGTGGGATTTGTAGATAATTGGTCTACTTTCGAGGGCAAGCCTGGTCTTTTGAGTCGGGACGGTATCCATCCCTCGTGGGAGGGTGCAGCTCTCATTTTCTGTAGCATAGCTTGTGGTCTCTCAGATAGCCATCAGTGTAGGACAGTCAGTCACTGACAAATGAGGGCCAAGGCCAGGCAGCAGACAAACAGGCTAAACCGACTGCCTGCTATCTGCCTTGAGACGCCACATAGTTTCCACCCAATTGAGACTCTGCCTGTTCCCCAAATAAAACAAAACATCAAAAATCCTTGAAAAGTTTGTTCTACTAATTGGGTCAATATCAGACCAGTTATACCAGTTTGCAGTGACAGCGCCTTTGGTCTAAAACTAAGACTGCTTAACATAAGATCTCTTACATCTAAGGCCGTCGTTGTAAATGAAATTATTACTGATCATGATTTTGATGCTCTGTGCCTCACAGAAGCATGGATTAGACCTGATCGAATACTTTGGTCTAAATGAAGCCACTGCCATAGGCTACAGTTATGCTCATAGCCCTTGTTTAAGCGGCCGGGGTGGAAGTATAGCAACCATTCATACAAAAGCTTTGGGTATGAGCCAGAAAATAGGCTACAAATTCTCTTCTTTTGAAATTCTTTTTCTTAATATAAGTGATTGAGGAACAAATAAGAATTAATTTTTACTAATTACAATCTATAGGCCACCAGGGCCAATATTCTCAGTTCTTACAGGAATTTTCTGACTTTCTATCAAGTTTAACAACATTTTTGAATAAAGTAATAATTGTAGGACATTTTAATATCCACTTTGATAAATCACAAGATCCACTAAGTAAGGCATTTATATCTAACTTAGATTCTGTAGGTTTCACTCAATATAAAAAGAGGGCCCACTCACTATTGCAGCCACACTTCAGACTGAATTCTGAACTTTGGTGTAAGATCATTTAGCCATTCTCCCCCAGAGCACAGCAGTCTCAGATCATTACCTAATCTCATATGAAGTTTGCTTTAGTCATAATGTACGTTCATAACCATGCTATCGTGTTAAGCTGAATATAACTTCCTCCATAGCTGGTAGCTTTATCAGAAACCTCCCACAATTACCAGCTTCAATCAGCTGTCCATGTAATCCTACTTATATATTATGACCAAGTGCTTAGAGAATACTTTTCGTTCTACTTTAGATAATATGGTTCCATTAAAAAGTAAAATAATAAGGCAGAAAAAGCTGCCCCATGGTACAATGATCATACTCAAGCTTTAAAACAGACTGTCAGACAACTAGAGCGAAAATGGTGCCTGACTAAACTAGAAGTACTCCAGTCTGCCTGGAGGGATAGGCTTATAGACTACAGAAGGGCACTTACTGCAGCACCCTCAACCTATCTCTCCTGTTACTGAACAAGCATCAGTGGAGAAATGCCGTTCAGCACTGTCCGAAAGGGCCTAGAAGCTGGCAGGGCACCTCGGCCCTCAGAATGTCCGTTCATGGTAGTCATACAACTCCACTAAACAGCCCTACATCCCAGCTCAACAAAGCACAAACAACACATATCACCCATCTTTACTAACATCAGCAACTTATTTACAACATTAAAGTCTCTCCTACTGGAGCCGGCGCATCCAGAGATCCTTCGCATGAGGCCACTCTGCATGGCCACCCCAGCAACTGAGCCAGCACCAGGATGCTACAATATCTTTCTCATATACACAGAATATAGATCAGTTGAGTCTTAGGTGGTGCAATCAGAAAGATTGTGATTTTGCTCTGTAGGCTTGTTTAATAAACTAGGTGACAGAACCTGGTCATAGTGACAAATATGTTCTCAGTTAAGTTCAATTAAATTCAGTATTAATTTTAACTGAAAGTTTATACAAATCTCCCTGCTTTCTTCTTGATCACTAACCTCCAGGAGATCCACTCCTTCAGTCCGGTCAGTCTCCTTCAGCTTCTTTCTCTCCCTCTCTTCCTGTGTTTAGTAAAATATTAATTTATTAAACTCAGATTTAAAAGAACTCAGAAAACATAATGAAAGATTAGTCATTTTAACTGGTAAAAAACCTCATCTGACTGGCGTTCGACGGACCTGCTGCCTCTTGATTTCCATCTACAGGTTGAGGAATTGAGGGATATAAATTTGCGTCATGATCAACACTATATGGCTTT